ACGGTCAAGGACAAAATGGAATGAAACTGAATCAGAGGTCAGAAACTGGGGATTTTATCTCATCTCTGTCACTAATTACTTATTTAACCTTGGGCAGACACTTACACTCTATCTCAGTGTCCTCATCTGTGTAATGGGGATGATAATGACTGGCTTGGCTATTTCCCACGATTGCTTTGAGAATCGAATGAGATAATATACTTAAAAGTGTTTCTGGAAAGCTTAAAGCACTGCACAAAAGCAAGGCATTATTTTAATTCCTGCTTCATAAACACTTCATCACACATCCGTGGGCTCCTGGGGTATGTGGTGAGATGTGTGGAGTAGCTCAACCAAGGCTTGCTATGTACCCCAGATCCTCTGCTACAACATCTAGATCAGTGGTTCTCAACCTTTCTAATGCTGTGACCCTTTAATACAGTTCCTTGTGTTGTGGTGACCCCCAACCATAAGATTATTTTCGTTGCTACTTCATAACTGTAATTTTACTACTGTTAATGAATTGTAATGTGCATATCTGTGTTTTCCAATGGTCTACCTGTGGGTTGAAAACCGCTACCAACAAACTTAAATTTTGTCACTTTTACATCTCTCTCCAATTCATAGAGATATAGATGCTCAATGTATACTATATTTGTCTGACTGTTATCTTAGGCCTGCTCCCTGTGTCAGTCATCAGTCAGATATTCTCCAAGGGCTCCCAGACTGTGAGAGGGTACAGGCCGGCCTGAGGGACCCCCTCCCCTCAGTGTACAAATCTCCTGCACTGGGTCTCTAGTAGACAAATAACCCAGGATCCTGCCCTTGAGGGGTTTTTACAGCCCAATGGATCTGAGAGAACAGACATGAAAACAACAAGGTGCCCAATTCTGCATTTCTGGTGTTGAGAGGCAATTTTACCTGTGAGTTTTAGTTAGTCAAGACATATGTGTGCATTTTTAGTTTTGACTAAAATAAAAACTAGTGGTGGCCCTTACTCATGTTTTTCTACTGATAATGGTCTGTATATTTTAATTTGAACTTGGACACAGACCTTTTTTTTCCCCAGATGAAAGTTTGTGAGATCCCATTTTTCTTAGTATCAGTGAAGCTATGGAATTTAAGGAATGGCAATAGCTATGATTAGCTTATAGGATCACCTAAATATTTTCCTGCTGACTTCTCCTGCAAAGTAGGACTTGCTTTGACGAGGAACACTGTTCTTAGGGAAGACCATTCCCAATCCAGTAGAGCAACGAAACTGCTGAGTACATTTGGGGCTCATATCTCCAGGCAGCTCCTGGCATCTCATGCCCTCAGCTGCTGTTTGAGTTTTGAGACATCACCATAAGACCCTCTGGCTTCAGATCGGGATCAGGGAAATGGAGAAATGGTCATCTAAATGCACAGCATGGTATTTGGGGAGAGGCCAACGACAGAAGCATATTTCAGTGCAAGTCCATCCTTTTGATCAGTCCCACTACTCCCAGCTCTCCCTCGAGCCGTCAACAAGACTGATTCCCTGCTTCCGGCTACACAGATGTCTTATCTTGCCTGCTTATCTAATCTATCTAACCTTCTTTTCCTTTCTCTGTGTTTCCTATGCCCATCATGCCTCAAGATATTGAAGTCATGGCTAATTCCTTGATCGGGCTTTCCTCTCTTATTGAAGCCATTCGTAGTCTTAGGGGCCAATGCCCACCTTTTCTGCATTCCCACAGCCCCTGCTTAAGTCCTTATCTTCCTACTTTAGAGGCCAGGCTCTGGGCTCTACTGTGCACCTGCCTCTAGACTTGCTCCCTTGCCTGGGACAGCTTCGATCACTACACACGAGACACCTCCTCTGCTTCTTTACCTGGTTCATCTTTTCGCCTTCCAGTTCTTAGTCCAGCTGTTACAGTTGCCCTGGAAACCTTCCCTGACCACCCCTGGGCTGGGGCAGGACTCACAGGCCCTTGGCTGACACACCTGTCTCTTTATCGCTCTACTCTTCACACTGGATATGGCCTGTGGTAAATAATCATCCCAATGCAGGTGGATGGGTTGGATGAACTTATTCTCATCTCTCAGTCTGTGCCGATTCCAATTTCTTCTCTTGATTTTCAGCTACCTTCTATTGTTTTGTGTTTAGCCATTTATACTTTTTTCAAAACATGTCTTTAAAGACACCTTTTCAGTTACAGCCTCTACTTTCACTGTAACAATTACTCTGTATTCCTCTTGTCATTATGAGAATGTATGCAATAAGTTTAATTATAATAGATCCACAAAGGTTGTATGTTAACGGTAATACTAGCGTTCCTTAAAACAATCACTTTGGGAAACTGTGACCCTCTTATCCCAGTAATGTCATAGCCACAGTCTTTCTGGAACTGCTCTTTGGGGATAATTACATTTACATTCTTTTGAATGTATTTTTTAAAAAATATATTTTATTGATTTTTTATAGAGAGGAAGGAAGAGGGATAGAGAGCTAGAAAAGTCGATGAGAGAGAAACATTGACCAGCTGCCTCTTGCACACCCCCTACCGGGGATGTGTCCACAGCCAAGGTACATGCCCTTGACCGGAATCGAACTTGGGACCTTTCAGTCCGCAGGCCGATGCTCTATCCACTGAGCTAAACCGGTTTCAGCCTTTTGAATGTATTTTAATAGTTGATACATCTACTATGATCAGGTGATTTTTAAAATTCGTGTACAGCCAAGTTACTATGAACTGTATTTAGGAAGTAAACAGAATGATCAAACTGATAACTCTATGAATCAGCCAATAAAAAGTAATGTTATTATCTTTCTCTGAACATATTTGCACAAGGGAAATTCCAAAAACAATCTGGCTATGTTATTTTTTGAAAAGAGTTTCTAGCATCCCAGGATGACTACTTTTAGTAAATAGCACTTGCTGATCCATTATAAAGTGCTTATTGACATCCGGCTGGGAATTTCACCGGCCTGCGATCATACTAATTTGTACTTGTTTCGTGTCGCTTCACATTCTAGTCCATCTATTATGCGACAGACACTAGGAATGAATAAGGCCATGGTCCTTGTCCATAAGGACCTCCTAATCTAGTGGAAATGATGGAAATACAAACAGCCCTGTGTGAAAAACAGACACAGCGGAAGATAAAGGAGCCGTACAGTGGAGGGACTGTCTGTGAGGGGGAGGAATTGGTTACAGTGTCGGCAAAGCCTTCTCAGGACCGAAGGGTGAATAATTAGAAGTTCACTGAGAGCGGGAGGGAAGGGAACTACAAGAGTCATTCCAAGTCCAGGGAACAGAAGGTACAGAGACAGAACCAAGAAGACACGTTTGGGGGGAATCTCGAGTCATTCAATACTGTTATTGTATAGCGTTCACAATGGGGCAGAGAGGACAGGCGAGAGGACTCAGCGAAGAAAAAGCCCTGTCTCTGTCCCCTTTAGGAGTATGAGCTTTATCCTGCAGGAGCCAGAGAAAGGCTCGGTGAATAGGATTTCCCTTCCCAACAGGATCATAAACCTCCACATCTCATTGGTCACATAGTCTCCCTCTGCCTGACTCTCCCTCCCCCCCCCCTTTTTTTTTTCAAGATTGTCTCATATCCATCCCTTTCTTTTCATTTGACATCTACCTCATTCACTCAGGCCTTCATCCCCTTACATCTGCCTGGACTGTTTCACAGCCCCCCGACTGGCCCTTGGTGAACAAAAGCTCACCTTCTGTTCCAGATAATTTTGTACAGAGCAACCTTCCTTTAACTTTTTTTTTTTTAAATCCTCACCCGAAATATATTTATTGATTTGAGAGAGGGAGAAAGGAGGTAGGGGGGAGAAGGAGAGAAAGATGGAGGGAGGAAGAGAGAGAAAAACACCCATCGGTTGCCTCCCATAGGCGCTCCAATCTGGATGGAACCCGCAATCTAGGGATGTGCCCTGACTGGGAGTTGAACCCTCACTTTTTTGGGGTGTGGACACACTCCAACCAACTGACTGGGGCAGCCCTCCCCGTCTGTAACCGGCCACTCAAAGTCCTGCGTGATCTGGTCCAAACCCCTTTCCCTCCTGACGCCTGTCCCCGGTAACAGTGCCGGAAGTCACCTGCTGCTCCCCTCACTGTCACGGCGGCGCTCCCTGGAATGCTGTGCTCACACAAACTTTTGGGTTTGTTGCTTTCAGCCCTTTCCTTACAAATAACAAGCCCACTAGTACCCATGCCTGATCACATCCCCCACTCTCCTGGCCTGCAAGTAGCCAGTATTCTGGTTCTATTGCTTTACTATATACTGGGTGGTCTGCACCCATAAGTACTATTTTGTGTTGTTATGAAAAAACTTTATATATATATATATATATATATATAAAGTTTTTTATATATATCTGTGTGTGTGTGTGTGTGATACTTTATATCACCTTCTGCAATGAGTTTTTTCCACTACCATCTTGATTTTTAAGATGTATCCCCAGTGACGTATGTGAATTCGGTCCTCTCCATTGATGTGTAGCGTTTCATTTGATAAACACACATGCCCTCGTTCTTGCATGGGCGGGCCTTTGGGTTGTTCCTAATGTGGGGCTATTATAAACAACGTTACAAGGCACATCCCTAGCTGGTCTCCTGGTTCTTATACATGTGACTGACCTTTTAAGATCCTGCCAGCATCCCAGCTCCTTCAGGAGAGTCTGCCCTGAGTCGCGCAACCGTCGTCACCCGCAAAACGTGGGTGCTCTGAAGCAGCTTGTGCTTCGGGCGTCTTTAGTGCATCCCACTGCGCCGCGCCAACGCACGAGGGAGTGAATGAATGAATGAGTGAATGAATGAATGAATGAGTGAATGAATGAGTGAGTGGATGAGTGAGTGATTGAATGAATGAGTGATTGAATGAATGAGTGAATGAGTGAGTGGGTGAATGAGTGCGTGAATTTTAAATGGGCTTCGGCGCCCTACCCCCCATTTCGTTGACAGCACGAGTCCTCGACCGCCTTCCCTCAGGGAGCCCCCGGGAGTGTGTGCGCGGCCGTGTGGGTTTGGGGACGGTACCTAGCTCTCTGGCTGAGGCCTGGCCGTCCCTGCAAGTTCAAGGTCTCGGAAGCCCTCGTGTGTGCGGCGCAGCGTCCGCCCGGGGCAGCGGCCGGGCTCGGGGCGCTCCCGTGCCCATGGCGCTGGCTGCCGGGGCGCGCGGGTCGGCGCCGCAGGCCGGGGGCGGCCGGCGTGCCTGGGGGGCTCCCGGAGGATCCCTCCGCGCGGCCCGGCCGGCGCTTCTTCCTGCGGGAAACCCCTGCCCGGGTGCCGCGGCGGCGGGGGCGGGGCCTGAGGTGGGCGGAGGCGGCGGCCGAGGCGGAAGGACACACGAGGCCGCTTCGCTGCACAGCGCAGAAAGTTGCAGCCAAACTTTCGGGCGGCTGCGGCGGCTGAGGCGGCGACGGCCCGGGAACGGGAACGACTGACTGAGGGAGGGGGTGCTGCAGGGAGTGGAGCCTGCGTTTCGCGGTGCAGCGCGGGGCTGCGATCGGCAGAAGCAGGAAGAAGGAGGAGAGAGTGGGGGGGGCTCCTCGATCGGGACCCCCCCTCCTCATGTGGATCTGCCCCGGCGGCGGCGGCGGCGGCGGCAGAGAAGGAGGAGGCGATCGGGAAGATGCCCGCCCTGCGGCCGGCTCGGCTGTGGGTGCTGCTGGCGCTCTGGCTGTACCGCGCGGGCCCCGCGCGTGGTGAGTATCCGGCCGGGGCTGCTGCCCCCCACGCCGAGGTCCCCGCCCCGACCGGCTACCTTGGGGGGCAGGGGAACCCCTTCGGCCCCCCTCTGTGTGAGAAGGGCCAGACTTTGTGGTCTGATCGATCGATCGATCGGAGGGAGGCCACCCTGGGTTCCCGAAAGTTTGGACATCCTGGGCGCGTCCCCTCCCCCGCGCTCCCCGCCGCCGCCGGCGCCCCTCGGCGGGTGGCTCCGCGCGCACACACACGCCTCCTCCTCCCCGGCCGGGGAGCCCGTCTCAGAAACTCCCTTTCTCAGCATGGAGTTCGGGGTGTTTGGTTCCGCGTTTCCTAGGGTGGAAGGGGAACCGAGGGCGGGCTGGGCTGCTGGTGACAAGCCTTCGCCGCCGCCGCGGAGCGCGAGGGGCTGCGCGCAGGAATGCCAGGTCCCGGCCTAGAGGGGCGTGTGTGTGTGTGTGTGTGTGTGTGTGTGTGTGTGTGTGTGTGCGCGCAGGGCCTCCCAGCCCCACGGCTCTCACCTTCCCTACCCAAGGGGGGAGGCACACCGTCCCGGGGGGTGGGGGTGGGTTTGGATGGGGCCCTGGTTTGTGCTGGCGTGCGCCCACCCGGGTCCTGACACCCCGAATCCTCGGTCGCGGTGGGATCGGGTGTGCTGTGCCGGAATCTCTGAGAGGTGGAGGGAGGCTTAAGAGCAGCAGGAAAACTGGTGTGGCCGCATGCTGGGGCCACATGATTTAAAAATCTCAGCTGCTGTTTATTCTCTCCGAGGCGAGGCGCGGAGCCCGGGCGCTGGTTCAGAGCCTGTGTCCAGCCCCAGGAATGCGGTGTGACGATCACCAACTCCACAGGCCTGGCAGCCCAGCCGGCTGGCTGCTCTTTTGGCAGGTTGGGTGGGGGTGGGGCCCAGGAAGGTGAGGAAAGGGGAGACGGTAATGCAGAGTGCTACCTTTAGGGAGGGAGCCTGTCTGGAGGGATGTTGGCAACAGTCTTTCTGAACACGGTTGGACCAAGGAAAGGAAGTCGAATCATTTTTTTTTTACACCTCACTCACCCAAGATCTCAAATTCCAATTTTTTATTTTTTATTTTTTTTTTTACATTCAGACTGTGTTAGGGGAAAGAGCTTGGTCTTTGGAGCCCACCTCTGTCATCCTGGGTTCAAATGCAGCTCTCATAAAATGGGAATTAAATTACCCAGCTGGAAGGATTCATTAAAAGAGAATGTATATTTAACCCATGGCAGCCAGGAGGTAGTCATAATGCCCTTTCTGGGCAGGGCTGTGTTTTCCTTTTTCTGAACTCTTGCTTCCAGTAGGAAGGTGGCTTGTGTGTGTTTGTGGAACTAAAAGTAGCCTAATGTGAAGGAATCTCCTACCTTGACCAAAAAAACTAAACCAATCCAAAACAAAACAACCCCCCCCAAAAAAAACAAACAAAAAAAAAACCAACCAACGGATACCTGAGCTATTGTGGATCTTTGCAAAGAAAAGGTTAAGCAGATGATGAGGTTCAGAAAAATTTGCTCTTTGTTCATTGTTAACAGGCACTCGACATGCCAATCACAGATGTTTAAAGAGAACGAGGTTATCACAGTGCTGGCTTGTTCAGCACCAGCCAGATCCTTTTTGGAAAGTTCAAATTCCAGACCGCTCTCAATGTCAGGAGTGGACGGGGAGCCTGTGAGACGATGAAGCAACCTGTTGTTTTGGGATTATTTAACCGAACGCACACAATGGTATTCTTGCCCTCCCTTTTTCTCTGGGCGAGAGTTTTCGTGTAAGTGTGGATTTAGACCAGAGAGGAATAGAAACAACGGGCTGGTGGGAGGGTTACAATCTTTGGTCTACCATTCACTTGTTTTAGGTAAATAACTTCATTGTCACGACTAGTAGTCTTCTCACCTATGAAACAGAACTGAAGAAGTAACCTACTTTAGAGACTGGGAGGGAGGGAGAAATATGATTGCAGAGCGGTTTGCAAAATTAAGTGTTGAGTGGTAAATCAAAACTAGAACTATCCTGACACACAAGGCTCCTCTCATTCGAGGACGTCAGTGCATAGAAAGATGTCTTTTTTTTTCTTTTTTTTTAGGTGTTTGGCTTTTTTTAATGAGAGAGAGAGAGAGAGAGAGAGAGAGAGAGAGAGAGAGAGAGAGAGAGAAAGGGAGAGAGAGAGAGAGGCAAGAGAGCCCTCAATGTGAGAGAGAAACATCGATGAGGTGCCCCCTCGTTGCCTGGACCAGGGATCTAACCTGCACCTCAGGTATGTGCCCTGACTGGAAATAGAACCGGCAACCTTTCGGTGCTCACTCAACCAACTGAGCCACTCTGGCCTGGCAGATGTCCTCTCTTTCACTTCAGCCTTGATATGAGGTATGGCTCTTATTACCTAACTTTTCGGTGGACACACTGAGTGTTAGTTAGCTCAGAGAGGACAAGAGTTATTATAGATAGTTTGATCTTTAGGCCAGTGTTCCACAGATGCTCACCTACAACAAGAAGAGATTAAAAAACCCGTTTCTTGGTAAAAATCTTAACTCTTTTTCCAAGCGTGGCGGTGACGCTTTCTAGATCCTTCTTCATCTCCTGTTAACCATTGTGTTTTGCCAAGGTACCAGTTCTAACACACCCTTCCAGACTGTGGAGTGTCCCTATAGCTGGCTGGTGGCCAGCTGTTAATTTAAACATCGGGCAAGGAGCTGTCAACCCATCTGTCTGATTGTCTAAACAGCTACCCAAGACCACCCCTTGCTCCGTGTTTTCTTTTGCTCTGCAATGTGAAGCGACTCCCTGGTTTTGCTGCCCGCCCAGACCATTTCTCAGCTGCACGCATCTTCTGCTTTTAAAAAATATCTCCAAGAGCAAAATTGTGTTTGTTTTCTTTTTCAGATGGAGATGAAACTATTTTCCTTTTCTGTTCTTTCCTTTGGGGTGGGGGGTGAGGGGGATGGGGAAGGAAGGAGAATGATTACGTTTAGTTTTGTTTCCCAATGTTTTGATTTTTAAAAATTAGTTGCCCGCCTCTTCTGCACCCTTCCCTCTTTGTTGCCGCTTCTGTAGTCTTCCCGTGGCGTGGAGGGGTAATTTCTGGTCCACCTGAATGGCAGCGGCTGACCTTGGGACCTTCAGACATGTTTAAATGCAGTGGGATATGTTTAAATTCAGTGGGGTCTGTTTGTATGCTTCAGGGCAGCCTTGCAGTACATTTTAAAAATACCATACCCACAGAAATTTTATTTCACCCACAGAATTTGCATCGATCTAGTTCCCATTCTCTGGTGCCATTCCTCGTGGTCCTCCTCCTTGCCCTGTCCGCGGTGATGGGACAAAGCTGCCTGTCCCTGCGGCATCTAAACCAGCGGGGGTGATAGTTGGGCGCAGCGCCCAGAGATCCTGGTACAGTGGGTCTGAGAATCTGTCTTTTTCAAGGTGTGCAGGTGATTCTAATCCAGTAATTTAGTTGGAACCCACTAATGATAGTTCATTACTCTGCATTCAGGGGTGTATGTAGGATTGTCCCTTCTTCATTTTAGTAATTTCTAGAATGAACCAAACCTTAGTCAGCCATTCCAGTGTTTAACCCTTTGTTCAACATACAAGTATAATACCACTTCTTTCGGACACAGTGGGTCCCCATTGTCTTCTTAGAGGGGTTTTATATATTTGAATGACTTTATTATATGCTCCCACCCCCTTTTTCTTCTCTGTTATCTCTTTTTCGTCAAGCTTCATTCCTTTATATCATTTTGGACCTTCTCTTCATTTGCCCTGAATGGTTTTAGAGTAAAAAACAAAACAAAACAAAACAAAACATTATATACCTGGCTGGTTTGGCTCAGTGAATAGAGTGTTGGCCTGTAGACTGAAGTGTCCCGGGTTGGATTCTGGTCATGGGCACATGCCCGGGTTGTGGGCTCGATCCCCAGTGGAGGTCATGCGGGAAGCAGCTGATCCGTAGTTCTCTCTCATCATTGATGTTTCTATCTCTCCCTCTTCCTTCCTCTCTGAAATAAATAAAAATATATATTTTTAAAAATTCTAAGCCATGATTTGGATGAGAATACAAGAAACTTTACATTGCCTATATAATGTGTTGGCACTCCTTATCCTATGTAATAAAGGCCTAATATGCTAAGTGTCTGGTCGTCCGGTCATCCAGTTGTCTGTCCAACCAATTAAAGCGTAATCCTATGTAATAAAGAGCTAATGTGCTAATTAGACTGGACAGTGGACGACCTTCCAGAATGACCAGTGGGCAGGGCCACAGGGCTACAAGGGCCAAACCCCTTGCATGAATTTCATGCATCAGGCCTCCAGTTTATTTCTATCTTGATGTTACAACCTAAACTTTTCATTTTCCTCCTACTCTTTCCTGAATCTCCTTTTCTTTTCTTCTTCCCTTTCTCAGCAAATGACTTGAAGTCAAAAGGTTTTCTTTTTCCTTTTCTCTCTTTATGTGTGCATTTTATACATAAAATATATGTGCAATATTTTGGAAAGATCACTGGACTAGGAGCCAGAACACTGAATTTTCCTCCAGTTGTTTCTAATGAGTCCTGCAGTCTGGTGGGAGGGGTACTTTTTTGGTCCATTTGTCCATAGACACTGAGCCAATGATAGAGTTGAGACTAGAACCTCTCTCTCTTCTGGTCCTCGGTCCAGTACCTCATCTACTTTCCAGACCACTTCCATCTCTTGTACCAATGAGCTCCTATCCAGAAAAACACTTAGCACATCCTCAAGTGCTTATCGCTACTGTGTCCTTCCTAAGGGGAGGACATTGTCTTTTCACTTATGTGTTTAGTCTGATTCTCCCACCCCTACCCTGTATCCAGACAGTGGCTTGACCTCTAATAGGCTGCCAATAAATATTAGTTTAATTAAACAACTACGTTTAATTCTTATTTTGCACTGCTGTGGTACTCCAGTTTTAAGAAAATAGTATTTGCAAGAGTCATGGCTTACCTTCCATTTGGGGGAAAACCAAATTTTTCCCTTCCCCAGCTATTTTATTTAAACTTGCTATTTTGAGTTTCTCTCTCTCTCATTCTCTCTCTCCGTTTCCTTCTCTCTCTCTCTCTTTTTGATCACTTCTGCAATTCATAAAGGTCACTTTGACTTTGGAATGCAGCCTCACAGGCACTGGCATCTACCCCCTGCCTCTCACTTGAGTCGCTTCCTGTATTACTATGTTACTAGGCCAGCGGTTTCTATTACATTGTTCAGAATTGCCATACCGTACTGTAATTTGATCATTGTAGGGACTATTGGAATAGTGTTTTTAAATTTTTAAAATTAGAGTTAACTAAGTTTATGCTATGACTTTTTTAGGTTTGTTGTGTTGTTTGTTTGTTTGTTTGTTTTTCATTGCGAGTTGGATATTGCAAACTCATACTCGACTGACAATATGTATGTTTACAAAAGTTTGTTTATTTTCCCCCCACCAAGAGAGTTCCTGGAAAACCTCGGCCACAGACAAAAATGCTAAAGGTGAGATAATAATAAACTTTTTTTTGAGAGAGAGAGAGAGAGAGAGAGAGAGAACCACAAAGTGTATGAGCTCTCTCTGCTACCACATTCGCTCCTTGAGGGCAGGGCCTGTGACCTACACTGGCCCATGGAACCTGTGTGGCCAGCATGCAGAGTCAGTGAGCGGCAGGTTTTGGTCACAGCAGCTATGACTCCCGCTCTGCCCTCTCCACCTCGGGGACACCCTGGAGGAGAGGCTGGTGGTGAGTCAGGGGTGTGTCTTCATGCTCCTTTCTCCTTTGAAGAGAAAAGATCTGTGGAAAGCTGACCCCACCTACAGACTTTTATGCTATCTCTTTTCACTAATTAATGGGTAGCTGAGATTTTCCTCCTCGTTGACGTATGTGTTGGCAGGGACTTTACATTCCACCCAGTCCTTCTGTCCATCCCCTGCGGGATGCGATCCTCTTACAACATCCTGGTCAAGAGACAGCCTACCTGCTCTCTGCTCCTACACCTCTGGTGACCGACAGCTCCCTGCCTCCAGAGGCAGGCTCATCAATCTTTTGGCCCCTCTGATTCTTAAAAAGATCTTTCTATATCCATCTTTCGTCTATCTTAGTATAACTTGCCGCCATTTTCTCATGGAATCCATCTTGCATCTTCTTAGGAATTTGCCTCATAACATCATGAGCCTTGTGTGGCTGAACAGTATCCAAAAGGGGTGCCCTGGCCAAAACCGGTTTGGCTCAATGGATAGAGCGACTGTCTGCAGACTGGAAGGTCCCAGGTTCGATTCCGGTCAAGGGCATGTATATTAGTTGCAGGCACATCCCCAGTAGGAGGCAACTGGTCAATGTTTCTCTCTCATCCTCTCTGTAAAAAATCAATAAAATATATTTAAAAAAAAGGGGGGGGGTGCCCTTTACCGACCTGACACCCACCTCTTTATAAAAGGAGCTAAACTCAGCGAGGAACACCAAGATGATCCCTCGTGGAGTGCTCTCCTGGACGTTGTGACTCAGTGGGTCTGAGATAGTGTCTGAGAGCATCCCTGTTTCAGAAACAGCCAGGTCATTTGATATCCGGGAAGTTCAGGACTCACTGAAGAGTGAGACAGAGGAAGCACGGGGGTTCTGGCTTAGTTTTTGTGTGTTTAATTATTGCTGGTGCTGGAGAGATGGGCTGCACAGACTGGCCCTGTGGCTGCAGTCACCTCTTGAAAGTGTCTGCTTCTTAATTTTTTACAGAGAGGAAGGGAGAGAGATAGAGAGCTAGAAACGTCGATGAGAGAGAAACATCGACCAGCTGCCTCTTGCATACCCCCCACTGGGGATGTGCCCGCAACCAAGGTACATGCCCTTGCCCGGAATCGAACCTGGGATCTTCCAGTCCGCAGACCAACACTCTACCACTGAGCCAAACCGGTTTCGAAAGTGTCTGCTTCTTGGTGAATGCCTATCGATAGATCACTAGGCAGAAGGGAGTTGCCCAGGTGTCTTCTCAAGGTTAGTCAAGTTGTTTTGCCTTTAAAAAAGAAATCTGTTCTCGTTCTCAGCTGTAATTTAGAAATATAAAAACTCCCCCCCCATCGTAGGACTGCTGTGTGGGTGTGTGATGTATGACTTTGGTGGAAACCTCCTTACCCCTCCATCCGGATCTTAGCCGCAGAGCCGGAATCCATCGGTGTTGGGCAGTCTTTTTGGTATCCACTGAGGAACCCCGTCCTTGGTTCTTGTGGATGCTGCCGCCTTTGAGGCTGTGGGCTTTGCTAGCCAAGGAACCCATGTCTACTGCCAGGGGTTTCCTTCAGATGTGTGAGTGCAGAATGATGCAAACCTCCCTCAGTCAGGCAGCCCTGCTCTGGGGTATCCGGGCTGCAGCAGCAGCAAAGGGAGTGTTTAGAAAAAGGAGAATGAAGGAGGAATCAGGGACCCCTCGAGCAGCACAGAGCAGTCTGCAAGGAGGGGCCCAGGTGTGCTCCTCTGACGAAGACACTGATGTTGTCCTTGATCGGAAGAGGGACATGGCTTCTGATCTGAAGGGCCATGCTCGTGACTGCTGGATGGGACAGACGGGGTCTTATTGGTGGTGGTAGGAGGTTGGCGGTAGATCTGCTCTTTTTCTCTTTATCTCCTTTTTTCCTCCCCCTCCTGTTGAAGAACAATAGGAATTGTTTCCAGTGTTGGCTAGTATGAGTAAAACTGCCATAAACATTCATATACAGGATTTTGTGTGAACATAAGTGTTGTGTGCTTTTTTTTTTTTTTTTTCATTTTAAAATATTTTACTAAAGGCCTGGTGCAAAAATTTGTGCATGGGTGGGGTTTGGCCAGCCCGCCCTGATTGGAGTGATCACGCTGGGCTGTGGGAGGGAGGAGACACAGGAGGTTGGCCAGCCGGCCCTGCCCCTGACAGGGGGGTAGGGCAATCAGAGGTGGGGCCAGCCAGGGAGAGGGGCTGTGGATGGTTGGCCAGCCAGCTCGACGCCCCCTGATCGAACTCCCAGTCAAACTTCCAGTCAAGGGGACAGTTTGCATATTAGCCTTTTATTACATAGGATTGATGGTATTACAGATATGTCCCATTTCTCCCCCTCTCCTCCTCCTCCTCCTAGCCCCTATTCACCCGCTCAGGACTTCACTACCCTATTGCTCCTGTCCATGGGCTATGCATATAAGTACAATATAATTTCTTTGGTTTATCTCTTTTCATCCTCCCAATCCCACATCAAGGTATGTCAGTCTCTCTCTCTCTCCTTTTGAGGGGAACAGCAGCTGTGTGGCAGCAAACAGATGGAGACCTTAGAAAGAAGAGTAAAGCCAAGAAAGGGGGTGATAGAAGCCATAGGTTGGAGTGAAAAAAAGCGAAGGAATTACTATCTGATTTATGTATGTAGATACATGTTTCCATGTTGTCTTCTGCCAGGAGACCCACTTAGTGGCTCTAAGATTGGTCATCTTGGTAGCTTTCTGAATGGTGTTAGGGAGGGTTGTGGTGTGTTTTCATCCCTCATTTGTGTATTTCCCATAGCATCCTGTGGCAGGGAGTGCAGGGTATTCTGTTCTTCAGGATGTGTGGGAATCACTGACCAAGGAGAAGGTAGGGTCCTGCGCCCCAGGAGCTGACATCATTGTGGAGACAAATGAGCACACAATTAGGACTATGACGTCCGGTCATTTAGCATTTAGCCAGTCACTTCTCTGCACTCTCTAAGAGCAGTTTCCTGCCATCGGGGTGGCTGAGGGCTGCAGGGGCTGGGAGAGGAGACTGCCATTTACCGCAGAATAACCACCCCCAGCTCACCCCTGTTGGGCTTGTGTGCTGTTCTCCCTCTCTCTCTCTCTCTCTCTCTCTCTCTCTCTCTCTCTCAGCTGGAATTTAAAAACACAAAAACTTGGCTCGGGGAAAGACAGAGACCCCTTTGTCTGCCGAGGGTGTAAATATAAATTTGGCACATGTCATGTATCTATTATGTCTATTAGTGGGTTTGTGGCCAGAGAGAGGGCTGTGTTCTCAGCCTGGATGCCAAGCCCGATCTAGGGCACGTTAAGGTGGACATATCTCCTGCGGAAGATCTGGTTCCCAGGGACAGTCGCTGGAGGAACTTCTCGTCACAGCCGGGCAATGACTGAGGCGTGGCCTGGGCACACCCAGAGCTGCTGGTGGGTGGCATTGATTAATCACACTCCCATCTCCCTCACCCTCTTGTGCTTGTCTTGGCAAAGCCCTGTTCTACCAGCTCCTCAAAGCTTGGGCCTTCCCAGATAGGATTGAGCAAACTCTTGGGCGGGGGTGTCATTATACTGTCCCTTGCCACTGGTGGAACCGCAGGCCGGTTGCCTTGGTCCCGTTCTGGTGCCCTGGGTCGTCTGGCCTGGCAGCGAGGGGCCGGGTGTTTCTTCCCGTTGGATCGAACCACCTTCCTGAGAGGCCTGTCCTCGGGCAGTTTCTGGTCTTCACCTTTTGCAGGATACTGGCAGCTGGGCAGTGGCCCCGGTGCTTTGAATGCATCAGCTAAGCATCATGCCAAGACAGACTCATTGTCTTCCAGACAGGTTGGGTCAGAGGGTGTTGCAGAACCTGTTTCTGGGTTAAGAGTAGCCGTCCCACCCTCCTATATATTTATTCATATGAAGAACGAGTGTGTGTGTGTGTGTGTGTGTGTGTGTGTGTGTGTGTTTTGTGAGGTAAGGAACCCATGATGATAATATTTTGATTGGAGTCAGATATTGTCTTCCTAATAACACGTTGTCTTTTAACAAGTGGCATCCCTTTAAAAACCCGGCTTTGCTCGCTGAAGTGTTGCACAGAAGTTGTGGTTGCATTCTGAAGTACGCTGCCTTGCTCCGAGGCAGGTGTTCTGTAAATTGTTGTTTGCTTCTTTTTCATCTCTCTTTACTCTCGTCCCTCTTTTGTGAGGAGATTCTGGGAGGCTTTTCTGCTTCAGAGATGAAATAGCCTATTTTAACTAGCACGTAACAGGGAGAGGTTGCTATGTTGGCATACTTACCCACAATTCAAATAAGAATAATTAAAGTCTGTTTACTTGCTAATATATTCTGTTGAGTTTTTGAACATGAGTAAGTTAGAAAACTAGAGAGTGCAAATGTGTCAACTTCTCAAAAATGGTACATGTAATAAGCTGCAAAGAAACTTTTGGTTAATTCCTTGTTTTCACATGCGTTTGTCCAGAAAGGGTGGGGATTCAATGAAGTTTGAGGACATCTGTAATTTTGATGATTACACTCTATTATATTATATTTTTCTTTGGGTGAATATACCTTTATTTGCTAAACCATCTTCAATTGGAAACATTAAGGACTTTGCTTTATTATAACATTTAAAGCACTTTCTAATCTTTATGAGGATTATTAGAGAAAAAAATCATATCCTGTGACTTGTGCAAGTCTTTGGCATTATGTTACTGTTTAAAGGAAGTAGCAATAGGAGATTTAAGGAAAATGGTTTTAACTCCAAGCACTGTAACATTTTAAGGTAGGTTTACATAACAACAGCATTATTTCTTAAGTTTACACATAATAAACTTATCTGTATTTTGTTGATTTTTCTCTGGCACCTGTACAAGATTTGCAGTGGTGGTGGTAGTATTTTGATGTATGTCTTTCTGGGTTTTTTTTCTTTTATATCTTTAGTTTTAAAAAGTTGTTGATGTATAAGATATATACAATTTTCTGTTCTGTCTTACTTTGGTGGTTATAAATATTTTTCATAAATTGAATTTTAATGGTTAAATAATATTCTAATTAATAAGTTTATTATATTTTGACCATTCTCATTTGGTTTGCTTGCATATTTCTTTGGTTCCATCTCCCCCCATCCCCCCCTGTATAAATGGTATTGATCATTTTCATATAGAAAGGAATTTTGCTCTTAGGATATTTTTCATTGTTAGATTTTTAGAAGAGACATTAATATATCAAAGAGACATTAAAAACCAGAAAAAAAGGATTTTTTTTAAAATCAGGAAAACATAAGATAAAATTAAAATATACAATAATCCCACCATCTCCAACCAAAACCCAGAGTTAATATGTTGAAACATTTCAGTGTTTTTTTCTATCTATTATTGTAATTGGAATTTTAATATACATATAGTTTTGTCATCTGCTTCTGCACCACTTAAATATGGTGAACATTTCTCCATATATATGTGTTTTTTTAAAGGCTGCTTACTGTTCTACCTTAAGAATCTACTATATTTTATTTAAATTGAAATCTCTTTATAGTTTCCAATTTTTATAATTATAAATAATGCTATGATGAAAATTTTTGTATGTAACATTCTGTAGGGATATCTATTGTATTTCATTTACAAACTCCCAGAAGTCAAATTATTGTATCAGAGTATGGGCTGTTCTGTGGCTTTTGATACACACTGCCAAATTCCCTTCCATATAGTTCGATCAAGTTATATTTCCATCAGCAGAATGTCAGTGTTCCCAGACATTGTCAACCTACCTTTTATTTGGAAAACTCTTTACTAATTGGCTAAGTGGTAAATTCTGCTTCATCCTAATTTGCCTCCCTGCATAGTGATGGTGAATGCTTTTTCATATGGTCATTGGCCATTTGTGTTGCCTTTGCTTTTATTTACTTATTTCGGCAAATTGTTTCTTTTACCCATTAAGGTGTTTATTTGGGGTTACTGATTTGAAGCATCTCTTTAAATATTAAGTATATTAATTAATCCTTTGTCTATCTTAAATATGGTGCAACAGATATGGGCAGGTTCAACTACATAGTATAAAATTGCTACCCATATTGATATAAAAATTGTTTATTTGCTAGGTTACATTTTTTTATCCTTTGATTGCTAATGAACTTGGTCAGTTTTCTGTGTATTAACTGAAATTTTCTATAGCTACTTTAAAATCCTAATCTGACTATATAATTAAGCACTGAACTGTCAGTTGTATATGTCTAGGAAATGCATATTTACTTTATAATAAAAGAATACTGGAGGGAAACAATATATTTTGAAGCCACATATGTGATTTGGGGCTGGTGGAGGGCAACCTGTTCTGTCTCCTCTTCCTAGATGTCCAAGATTGTGGAGGTGACATGCCTGAAAGTGAGGACTAATGCACCACTCAATCTGACCTTTGACCTCATTGATCATTGTACAGTGGTCTAGCCAGTCCGTGTGGTCAGACAACCGGGTGACTAAGATTCCCTCCCCCTCTCCCTCACCAAATTGATTAGTTGTGGGGCAGAACTGACTGAGTCAACCTGTTGTTTTGGCACCCCGTGGACACCACCTGTTTTTTCCATTTCTCCTTCCAGCCTCCCACTGCCCTGGTGCAGAGCTGTGTGCACAGTGGGTAGGAGATCAATGTTGTTGCTGAAGAATGTTGCAATAAAAAAAGGCTAGATTGCTTTTTTTTCCACAGTTGTGCGCTCTTAAGACACCCTGCTGCTTTTGACATTAAGAGCTCCAGCTGAACTGCTCTATGCAGAGGCCCTGAGGGTCTGAAGTGCTCGATTCAGAATCATTTCAGGCAATATGAATGCTTTCTTAAGTATTATTGGAATTTACTGGGCTGGCTGGTTGCCAGCTATTACCATATTTAGCATGAGGAGACCTGGAGAACAAGGAAATGCACATTTCTGACCAACCAGAGAAGGAAACTTCTCTTGAAAGATTGAAAAAAAAGTTTTAAAGGGTAGTTAAGAGAGTGCCAGTTAGAGTGAGATTCCAGCTTGTGTCCGGTGGTCCTTGTTTCTGTGCCCGAACCACAGCAATTAATTTATGGATGATGATCATCGGGATTTGACAAGGAAGGTTTTTCTCACCCTGAAGCCTCCTACTGTTTCTGGGAGGAAACTGGAGGATTTTTATGCCTAGACTGTGCATCGAGAGGCTTACTCAGCAAGGGAAGCCATTGATTAAAAACGGGTGGATGGGTGTTATTCTCTCATCTCTCTTCTTGAAGGCTTATTAGGTTTCTGCTTTGTCATGGTCTGGATTTATTTTGGCCCCGTCCTTCCCTCCATGGCTTAACATTTCTCTGCCTCAGTTTTTCCATTTTAAAGATGAAGACAGCATTTGGAAGGACCAGTCAATACAGTGACCATGAAACTTATTTTTGTAAAGTAAAAAACAAAAACAAAAAAACACACCAACATTTCCGCAGCAAAACGGAGCTTACAGAGTATTCGCTCACAGTGGTCTCCTTCAATCCTCACAAACCCTTGGTGGAAACTGAGCCTCCGAGGGGATAGTTGGCTTGTACACCCTTGTTTAGCCCTAGCTAATAAGTAACAGAGTGAGGACTTACATTTGTGGTTAGACTTTTAAACTTCAGCTTAAAAAAAATTTGGGGGGGTGTCAAATTCTTTTGTGTTTGCCATTCTGCTAGGGGCTTTACACGCATTTCTTCATTTTAGTCACATGGCTATCCAGCCTTTGGGATGGACATTATTTATTTACGTATATTACAGATAAGGAAATTGGAGCTTAGGTTCATAGCTCTGGGTATTGGGGTGAATCTCGTGGTTGGTGAGGGATGGAGTCATGATTAAAGGTCTGTCTGGCATCAGGACCTGCAGCCAACCCTGTTGCTCTGTGTGCATTTACTAGTAGACAGTCTCACACCACAGCAACCCAACAAGATGTGGAGTAGGTAAGTTGAGGTAACTGAGGCCTACAACATGCTCAGGAAAATGCAATTACTAAAGGGCGGAGTCAGGATTTAGAGCAAGTCTGTCTGTGTCTATAACCCTTACTCATTCCTGTACAGTGGAGATGCGTGTGTTGATGTATATAAGTAAAAATCAGTGCCTAAGACCAGTGTTGAATATTGAGGTTAGCTGTTAGGAATCCTTTGTAGCTTCTGAATAAATAAGAAATGGGGGATTGGGGCGGGGGGAGGTGGGAATTTATTGACTGATGAACTTTGCCTTCTCTCAGTTGATTTCTGTCACCAGGACAAGCAAATTGAACTTGGGTTGAGAAGAGGGGAGATCCCATTAAAGATGAATCTTTAAGCCCAAGTGGGCCACAGCTATGGGCCTGTCCTACGGTTGCTCTCAGGAGCAATGGCCGAACTCCTGAGGACTCTGCTTGGGGACATCCCTGTCTGAGTTTCTGGAGACTCCTCTTTTCCAGGGAGTTGTCAGCTAATGTGGAAAGAGGGTGGGGACACTTACAGGTCTGGTTCTAAATGTACTAGTCCTGTGTCCTTGGGCAAGTTTCCTAAGCACTCCATGCCTCAGTTTCATTCTTTATAAAATGGAGATAATAGCTGCACGTAATTGTTAGGGTTGTTGTGAGGATTAAATAAGCTCGTAGCGTTAAATTCCCAGTACAAACAGTACCTGGCACATGGTAAGAGAGCAGTACGTAGTTGGTGGTGGTGATGGTGGTATTTCATGTCGTAGTATGTATGGACTGGCCTTTTGTTGCTTTCACTTTTCTGTGTCAAAAGTGGGGTGAGAAATAGGAACTTCAGCTTTGCAGGATGCCGATTGTTCCCTGGTTTCTAGTGACCCTACAAATATTTAGGGGTATTGTATTTGAGTCTGTTCCCTTAATGGGATATAGTTCCGATATCAAAAACTTTTTTTCTATTATAAAAATTGCCTTGATAGGTATTAAATTATTGTTGATTTAGTCAGACATTTGTGGTTCGCTGTTATGCTTAGTACAGAAACTGTGATTTTTTTTTCCTGAGGTATAGCTTTGAGGATAATATAAGGTCCAACACTTTTGCCCCCCAATTTCCTATGATATGGGATATTGTGTGTCATATACAAAGTCCAAAGATGTGAAGTGACTGGCCAGGGGGCCTAGAGTGAGTGAGGTCAAGGTTGAGGCCAGAATCCAAGCTTTTGTTTTCTAGTCAAGTGATCTTTCCTCTGTACCCACTACTCAATGTGTCCACCCCTGAGTTTTGAGATCTGAAAATGGAACAGTGAAGAAGTGGGAAGGGTGGGGAGGCGAGAAGTGTGGCCATATTGAGCATGTCAGTGACAGGCGGAGAAAAAATTTGCCTGTGAGCCCCTCCCTGCCGGTCCCTTTGGACATCTCTGTGGTGGTGGAGGCAACCCAGCAGGGCTGGTGCCATTTGTGACTCAGAATTGGATTAGCCAGGGCTGGTGGAGTTACTTTCTCAGAAAAGGGTTTCATATTTTCACATTTGTTTCCTCTATAGTTTGCTTAGTCTCAAGTTTTGGCAGCCTTGAGCAAATGGTTGTCAGGTTTTTTTGTTTTGTTTTGTTTTTTTAGACAAAACTCCAGATTTTATTTTGACGATTTAGTAAACTTTCCTCTTCCTACCACTCCCTTCTGCCCCCTATATAATTATTTCTAAGACTTTGTTTTTCACTTGTGGGAGTACTCTGAAAGGTTTTCTTTTATAGTCTGAGATATTTATAATTATGCGTAAGCACACTGTTTACAGGGCATGTAAGTGGTTGCATATATTAACTCATGTACACTTAAAATATTTTCCAATAATTTAAATCTTTTCAGAAAAGCAGCTGAAGCCACTCACAGTAAAAGGGGAGGTATACACGAAGGAAAGCAGCATTTGAGTGTAATTGATAGAGATAAATGCGAATGTCACTTTGGAGGAACTGGGAGTATTTGCATGAAAGTTGACCGGGGCATGTCTCCTTATTAACAACATTGATGTACACCTCTGTCCTCCTGGGGCTTATCAGAACTAGCAGTAGCTTCCATATACTGAGGGTTTGTTATGTGACAGATGCTGGGGGAAACGTACTTTACCTGTATCCGTTAGTCCTCACAGTAGGTGCTTTGATTCCTACTTAGTGAGAGGTTAAGGGATGGTCACCCAGCTCACCCCGCTTGTGGGTGATCCAGTGCAGCAACCAGAACCCCTCTTCCCTGACTCCAAAGCTCACACACTCACCCACTCTCGACGGTGCCATTGTCTGTAGTCCCACAGACAATGTACCGTTAGATGTACTAATGTTTTGTGTACTACTCAACTGGCTCCAGTTTTACTCTTCATTTCTTTCCTCTGAGTGAACATTTGCATAACATGGAAATGATTTAACCTTTAAAATTCCATTTTGGGGAGTTGCAGTGTTGTTGTTTTTTTTTCGAAATCTTTTTGAAAGGGGAAGAATGGATTTATGTTTGTCATTATCCGAGGGAAGTTATTTAGCGTTTCTTTTCCCTGTTCACTTCTGGATCCTAAAAGAAATTCTTTCGCAGATTAAGAACAGGAATGAGTGTGTCACTTTTTTTCCTTTTTAATGAAAACCATTTTGAAAGACTGGAGGTGGCAACCCAGAGTCATATTTGTGCCGGCTTTTTCCTGACTGTGCACTTGTGTTCTTATTGTACCGTTCTGAAAAGGGCGTCCGAGACCATGTAAAATGATTGGAATGCCTCCTGTATGAACAATGGACATAGCCAATTACTAAAACTACCCAGTGCTAACCCATCTTGGCCTGGGAGCTTTGGAATTAACTGCGTGCGGCATTTCTACCCATATCATTATATAAAAAGCACGCGGGTAACCTTGGTTTTTCTTTTCTGGGAACTTTTTCCTTGTTATTATCCCTTCTGTTACTGAGAACAGATGGTTGTCTGTGCTAATACATGAGAGAAGTATGTTTGACACCAACCCTTCTGTTTTAAAATGTAGTCCTACATATGAGTGCTCTGACATGTGGGCCCTTGCAAACATACTGGACTTCCTCTTGAAGGTTCAGTTGTGTCAGCTGCCAGTTGAATGGTGAAGGAGAGAATGTCCAGGGGTATTGAGGATAATGAAAGAGATAAATAACAGCGAAAGTTGATTGTTTGTTTTTAATTATCTCTTGGAATGGCTTTTAGATACCCTGTCCCACTCCATTTGGATTTTTACTGCAGCTAGGCCTGGCTCTGATTCTTAGCTAAGGATACATTGGGCAAGCCACTTAACTTCTCTAAGTCTCAGTTCCCTTGTTTGTGTATCTGGAATAATAATAGTCATACCCAACTTGCAGAATTGTTTGTAAATGTTGGAAATAACATTTAATTGCATGGTTCTGAGCACAAAATAGGCACTCAACTGCAGAGGCCCCAAACCTTGAACTTCATTAGCCTCCTGGTAATTCCCCGTTTGGAATATATGAGCTGGGAGTACTTGACTCTGGACCTCCTTGTTTCAGTTTTCTTTTAATGATTCCCTTTAGATACTGCTCTTGCCAGAACAAGATTATGGGTCCCCTAAAAACCAGAGTCAAGCACTATAGCAATTTCGAGTTTATAGATGAATTGCCTATGAATTAACACACGTTTGTCTGCTCGTGATTTGCAGCATCTTTCATTTTTCATCTCAAAAGCAATTGATTCATAGAAACAAAATATTTAGTGTTTCAAATCAAAGTTGGAGAACTTTTTCAATAAGGAGGATCTGCTCGATCGGCTTATTTGTTTTCATCTTTCATCCCTGAGTCTTCATGGAAATCAGGCTTGAAATGTTAGAAGCAGTTGGTTTTCAGCATTGGGAAAGCTTATCTAATCAGGCATGTGAAGTGGCCTCTGTCGGATTTCTGTGCCAGAGAAGGCGAGGGGAGGTGGAGGAGATTATCGCTCTAGCTTGTAATTCCTGAGCATTGTTGAGACACTAGGAGAGCAACGGGGAAATTCCAAAAAACATTTAAGATGACTACACTGGCCTAACAGGCATATATCTCCCATCTCCATTTAGGCTGGTCTGATACTATAGTTATATGGGACCTAATTTGAATCATGTGATCAATAGTTTATCGCTTATGGGCTAGATGATGAGGATTTTTTGTGTGTGTTTTTTTTGTTTGTTTCACAGAATTTAGGATTGGGAGTTTTACACAAAATAATATTTTACATTAAATTGTGCTTTCTGACAAGGGAGCCATCTCAACAAACATTCTTTCAGGTGCACAGTGTAGGACAGCTTTATAATCACTTTTCTAAACATGGTTTTATTTGAGCCACAAATGGACTCTGCTAAGGAAGGAGGGCCGGTGATGTTATTTTACAGATGAGAATGCTAAGTCTCAGCTAGCTTATGGAATTCCTCTAGACCACACGGGAGAATATAAAGCCAGGATTAGAACCCAGGTTCTGGGGTAGTACAACATTGCTTCCTCCAGAATGCCCCTGAAGCCAACTTCTGTTCCCCAGGATAATACGGATTCTCTTCCTTTCTGTTTTGATTAGCTGCCTCAGTCAGAGCATGTCAGCAGTGAAGCAGCAGTTGAGAATTCATTCCCCAGCTGGGTCATTAGCTCTTCCTAACAAGATTCTAAGCCTGTAGTAACCGGTTGTCCCTGATGCCTGTGGCTGACTCAGCTGAACTCATCACACCTTCCATATGTTCTGTAATGGACCCCCAATGTCATGTTCCCATACAGACACTTCCTGTGCTCCGATGTCTAGTTCTTAGTACCTTCCCTCAGCTGTTTTTAAGCCCTAGTTCTTCCTGAGTGGCCTGGAGTGATTTACTGTCCTTAAAGTTTAAGGTCTCTCCAGAACACACAGCATAATGTAATTTCACTTCCCAGCTCTTGGCATGTCTCTCCTTCATCATTATAACTTTAAATTTAAACAGAATATGAACTGTGTACACTGATAGGCATGTTAACATTGCGCTATCGTTTAAGTGCACTTCAGCATTTCGTCCTTCCTTTTGATCAAAATGAGGAAATAGAAAATGTTTTGTTATGGTAGGTTTACACATACACCCACAAGGAAATGCGTTAGCTAGCTTGTGTGGGAACTGTAACTGATATATTTCAGGGAGGAAAATGCATGATGGGTAAAATTTTAACTCTGCCAAATGTTCATGGGGAAAGAAAAATGATCAAGCTCCCACATTGCACTTCAGTGTGGCTTACTAATTCTAAGGCTGTTAACTTTTATGAGTGCCTGCCTTGTTTACATCTATTAACTGTGAAAGCGCGCTTGCCCTTCCACAGAGTGCATTTCACAAGTTGTGCTTCTCCCTCCGGGAGCCATCTCCACGAACGCACTTTCAGGTGTGCAGTGGAGGGCCGCTTATTGCGAGTGGAAGGTTAGAATGCCAAGTGGACCATTTTGACTCCTCCATCAAGCCCGCTGGACATTTGGCCGGGCCCTGTGGTCAGCCGAGAGTTTCCTTTGAAGGCCACTGCCCTCTAGCCATGCCAAGGCCATGCACCTCTCTCACCAGGAAGAATTTGGCACTTGCTTATCATGAGAGCTGGGATTCCCTAGTCTCCTTCATCCTGAGAGCTTTGATAGCAGAGTTTCTCCTGGGGCACATAGGTTATCCAGAGTGCATGTCATTTGTTCATAGAAAATTAAGACTTCATTATATATATATATATTTTTTTATTTATGACAGTTTGAAATGAATCGACTTGTTACTTCATTTCAGTAAAGGACTATTCATGGGTTTGGTAAAACTTCAAATTTGACACTGTGACTATTTGAATTAAACAAACATCCCTGCTGTGTGTGTGTGTGTGTGTGTGTGTGTGTGTGTGTGTGTGTTGGGAGGAATCAACTTTGGAACTGTTTTTTTTAAAGTTATTTTGTAATAGTGCCTATTCTCAGTTGGCAGAAAATAACTATCTAGAATGTTGCTCAGGTCTAGTGAAAAGTTTTAGGGAAGTTGTAACTAGCTTAATAACCATTTGTGGACTGACATCGATCGACACACCCAATTACACAAGACCTGAGTCTGAGAACTGGTGATGTGCAATCATCCCATCACATCTGGTCGTCATTATCAGCAACAGTAATGGCTCCACTATTTCTCTGGGGCCACGTGACATGACAGTGTCTCCATAGTAAAGGGGAAGTCAGGGCTGACAAAACACACCCATTCCCAACCCCTTGTTCCCAAACTTCTCTTTAAATATACCCTGTTGTGAGGATTTGAACTAATTCACCTTATTTAATGTTGTTGTTTTTAATAAAATTTTCTTTTTGGAAAAAAAAATTTTTTCCCCTTCTTAAATACCATGACTTTCCAGCTCACATTTTTGCCAACCCAAACCAGGAAGAGCCAAAGCACTCTGGGTCATTTTTCTAACATACAACTTTGTCATTTGAAAGACGTCATGTCTGTGGTTTCCTGCTGCTTTATGAGTACTGAAGTATTCAGTATCTATTCTGGTTTACAGTTAACGCTACAACTGCTGTCAACCACTGATGAGCACTTTCTAATAGAAATCATTTTGGTCACTGTGAGTGGGAGGGAAGGAATTGGTTCACAGGAATGAATTTGCATGTTGAGAAGATACTATCTAATAGTTTGCCATACCTAAGCACTTTCGTGTGCTTTATCTCTTTGACGAGGCTGTACGTTCATTTGTGGACACCGAGGCAGAGACCTGTGGGGCCCTGATCCAAAGTCAGCCTGCAGGTGCCAGGTCTTCGGTCTGGCTCTTGGTGTGTAACTGGATGAGTCTTTCATTGGCAAAAATATGGAATCTTTCTACTCTTAAAGGGCACCCTTTTGCCCTTGGACGGTATGTTAGCAATTCTTTCCAGAGTGGAAAGAAGGTAGCAATATTTTCTTCCTTTTGATAAAAATCATTGTGTTTTCTCTAAGTCTTGTTGTTTCTAATGAGAGTCTGATGGCACGGCAGGGCTTCTGACTAAAAAGCCTTTTGGAAAATTAAAGTTTTATAGAAATGAGTAAGCTTTCCATAACATTCTGAAGGGAGCAGACTCAATTGAGCCGATACAAATGTGTTCTTTGATTCATCAGTACATTACGAGACATCAATTTTTCAACCCATTAATTTTGGAGTTTTAATATGTACCTTCTTTCTGAAGCACATATCTGTGCACAAAGTGCATGCTTCGTGGTTGTCATTGACTTGGCAAGAGGTCAGACGTGTTGGTGAGTATTGGTCGAGCAGTGCCATGTAACTTCAGTGCCTAGATTGCTGTGTGCACACTGGCCGGGAGACCAAGCTCATCTTTTGAGAAGCGATGTAGAGTTTCAGGAAGCACCCTGGCCTGTGATCACAGGTCTTGATATGGGACAGGGTTAGTCCAGGGAACATACTTCGCTGGGAGACCGCTTAAAGAAAAAGGTTTTGCATTTCTTTTAAGAGTCAGGCCTTGTACTGAATGTTAGAGTGGTTGTTTCAAAGGGCTTCTTTGTCTTAGCGAAGGCTCCTGTCTGTGAGCTGAGGAGAAGCAGAAGAGGAGAAACAGTCCTTGGGAACTTCCCCTGGAGGTTGTAGCTTGGTCTGAAGGGTCTTGATTGGATTAGATGAGTAACTAGTTCCTGGGACTAACGAACTTCCCAGGAGTCCCTTTGGTTATACATGCAGCTCCATGGGATCGCATGCCGTTCCAAGCCATCATGTTTTGGAATAGTGGTTTTCTAACTTGAGTGCGCATCAAGTTTTGGGAGGTTTGTTAGAACACAGACTGCTGGGTCCACCCCCAGAGAGGTTTTGATTCCGTAGGCGTAGAGTGGGACCGAGTCATTTGCATTTCTGGCACGTTCCCAGGTGATGCTGCTGGTGTTTGGGGACCTACACTTTGAGAGCAATCTCAGGTGTTTGAGCTTCAGGGCAAAGGGAGCTATGCAAGCTTGGCTGGGATTTTTTTCACAGCTTTTCCAGTGCATAGCAGAGCTTCCAGATTTATTAATTAATTCATTCAACAAATATGTGAGTGTCCACTGTGTGCTGTTACAGTTGTTGGAGATATTGTGAAGAAAGCACCAGAACTCCCTCCGTTTGTGGAACTGAGTGAGCACAGGCCAGGATTAACCAGCTATCAGTCCTGCTAGTTATTGACAAGCCCGTTCCTTTTCCTAGTTCCCTTCCACTTATGTTGCTTTCTTTTGGAATTTTGCTTTTAGTAATAATGACTTTGCTCTTATTAATCATCACCGTAACTTTTAAAAAAAAATATAGATGTTTTAGTTGATTTTTAGAGAGAAAGGAAAGGGAAGGGAAAGAGAGAAGCATTAATTGGCTGCCTTCTGCACGCCCCCTATAGGGGACGGAGCCCGTAGGATTTTAATGTCAAAGCTATTGGTTCTTTCATCAGATAATTTTTTTTTACTTGCAATATTTCTAATGTCCCTCTGCAACATAGTTTTTTAATTGAAGTTTTGAATTAAAAAGCTGTCTTCCCAGAGTGGAAGAGGTAAGGGTGGAGGATGTTTGTGAATTAGGTCGAATCTCTCCTTGAGGGGGAAAAAAAAAAATGCTGTTTATGATCTAAGGACAATGAACAACTTTCCTTTTCATGGTCTGTGCTAGTGCAAAACTTTTGTTTGATGTCATTAAGCCTTCCCTCCCCACCATTATAGTAGTGAACCTGGTAAATGTTTGCTCTTAATTTTTTTTTTTTTCTTTCAGCCTTAACCAGGGGACAAACTAGAAATGACAGAGTCGTAGAATGGAGAATCTACATCACTTTCCTATGAAATGCTGTTGAATGGTCCTGGTGCTATGCAAGATTTGTTGATTTGTTGCAGGTCTTTTGCAATATCGCCCAAAGTTGAGCAAGACTTGTAAAAAGAAGTGAAGAAAATAGCTTATTTCATTTCGGAGTTTGGAAGCCCTGGTTTATGGGGATGGGCTAAAATAAAGATATCCTGAGTAAATGCAGTGAAAGGTTATTTTGGTAATGAGAGGAAATTCCATTTTTTGTTTGTGGAGAGACTCTGGAGAGCAAATTAGAGAGAGGGTAAAACTCACTTTGGCGACACAGCAGAGCCAGGCAAACTCAGGGACATATATTCTATATATGTAGGTATTACCAAATATTTTTTTTCAGTTGTGCAAATGCAAATCATTTCAATGTTAGAGCAGCTCCGTTCATTACTGTTACTGGAAAAACGAGTTAAACCAAGCACATGGCCTACTGAGTCAACAGTGTCATTTTAGCATAAGGAGGCCCAGAACGTTAAGTGAGTTATTCCAAGGCCTGTGGTTTTCCTTCAGCTGAGCAAAGACAGCTGTTGTTCAGAAGTGGGGCTTAGATGCAAAAAAAGAAGTTGCCCGTTTCCCTTCTTTCTCAATTATAGCCGCTTTGTTTTCTTTTTGCTTGAGACTTTTCAAAAATCCTTTTTCTTCTTAGATTTCTGGCATCAGATTTCCTGAATTGGAGGGCATAGGGTTTATTAACGACTGGTTGTCGTTTAAAACTTTATTTTGAATGCAACCACTAGTTCACGGACCAGGGCTGGTGTAGGACATCAGATATTCTTTTTTTTAAAATGTCCTAAGGAACCAGAAAAGTAATCTCTTTTACCATGTCATCATTTTCTGCAGTTCTTCCGTGGTGCAGACTTGAAGTAAGGTGGGTTTTTATGGGACATTAGACCAAACTGTAGTGATGAAATATATCCTTTTGACTTTGGAAGCCAAGAGTCTGGTGTACTCAGCCTTGTGGAAAAATAATGCTGTGAACTGTCTGAGGTTTCCTCGCGCGGGAGCCAATGTTATTAACGGTATGTGTCTGGATAGTTATTTCTTGGTCTGGGGAGATGAATTTTTGTCTTTTTCCCTCTCTCCGTTGACTCCTTTAACTGGAGAGAAACAAACCAGATGAAGAAAATGTTCTATCTCTTCTGGCATTCTTGGTTTACCACATTAGTTATTACCCGCCTTCCCTGAATAGCAGGCCACACGTTTCCTGTTCAGCGGTTCAGTTTTCACCAACTCAACTGCAGATGTGTCCTTTGAAGGATTTTGTTTCTTATCAATTAAATTACAGTATGCTTTATCAAATCGTGATGGGTTGCTTATACCTAATACGGTCACCATTCTGAAGAGGAAAATCTTGTCAAGATGAGGTGTGATCCTTGTTACACTCCAGTCCCATCATTTCCTTTGCTTCTGCCATGCGGTTCTGTTATGGAGAAGAAATGGTATCTAGTTACAGTTTTACAAAGGAAGCACGCTATACAATTTCACTCATTCTCTTACCTCACAGAGTAGTTTGTTTTTGTGTTTTTCCTGAGAAATAATACATAGCAGCAGATTGAATCCTGGAGTTGGCAAGTTTTCAAAAGCACGGGGCTCTTTTGTGGTGGAGGTAGGACGGATCCTGATGAATGGATGTCAGTCCTTATTAGGGCATGTTTGTGAAGAGGGGCCCTGAAATGCAGCATTGGTGGCCCCTCCAGGCCTGGGAACTCAGTCTTGGGTTTGTTTTTAACAAGCATGTGCTCATTAGCTGATCTTTGGTGGTTGTTGTTTTTTTATGTACATAGCCAGTACTGGGGTGCTTATCTACACAGGAATGGTATAGTCACAAATGTATACTATGGAGGTCTGCAAGTCTGGGTGGATATCAAGTTTCTAACTGCATCTCAACAGATGTATTGTGTGAAAGGATGCTGGACTAGTGGGTAAAAGATTTGTGTTCTGGGTCTGGTTTGGCCATCTTGTCTTGAATGACTTTGAGTGAGTCCTTTATTTCTTTAAATTGTAGTTTCCTCTTCTGTAAGATAGTGCTAACTCCAGTCCACATGCCCCACAGGGTTGTTTGTTGGGATCAGATGAATGTCTGAAAATGTTTGTAAATTATTAAGGAACTTTTACTATAGCATAGTCGTTTGCTAATTGATGTGGGTTCTTTCAGACTGCTCAGGGCTGAGAAATCAAAGATTGTGAGCTTACTTTCTGATTTGTTTGGCCAAAGTGTCACAATGGACTTGGAATACTTGGTTTGTGCTGGGGAACATGGATGGAAACCAGCTGAAAATCCCTGCCCACTAGAAGAAGCTGGGATGTTACTCCCAAATACATGTTACCAAGTCAACACCAGCGCTGCATTTAGCTAGGATAGGTACCTGTCACTCTTATTTTACTGGGAGGACAATGACCAGCCAACTAACTTAGGACATGACTAACTAGTTACTGAAATTCACATCATTAGAGTTATGTCTTGAGGGTTAAGTATTATGTCTTTGGAAGGATGCTGATTTGGGGATATTTCCTGTGGAGATGAAATAAACTTGTCTTAACATTATAAAGCCAGGTTATATTGAGGGGAGGTCACTTGATTCACTTGACATTTTTAATGTAAAAGTTAGAGTTTTGGAGACTTCCTATGGTAACTTATATTTAGGTCCAAAGCCAAAGGGATTACGATGCCTTGGTTTAAATATTTTTGATGAGGTAATATGTGCTTTGCTGGGAGGAGGAGAAATGTTATTTAATCACTAGCACTGCACTAATAACCACACTCATGAAGTCCTTTGTCCCTTTGCTTAATCTGAGGGTTACTTGCTTTAATACTGATTTTCCAAAGGACTTAATCCTGTTAATGTGATGAGTTGATAGTGAGAAAGACATTCCCACTGGGCCTGAGTGGTGTAACTGGTAAAACTCCCTTGCAAATCCTTCTTGTTTAACATGAGTGTCCCTCCCATGTCCCCAAAGTGAAGTGAATTTTTATTGAGGAGAGTATTTTAAGAGTGGTAAACAAAGAGATTAAATTATCTCCCCTGCCAGGTCATTGTGATCTTAGAAAGCTAGAATAAACTATCATTTTGCAAATTTTATTTTTGTCTTCTTTTGTGGGAAATTAAGGAGTTGTTTATGTTCTCTTGGAGGGAGATAGAAAACTACGGACCCGCTCCTTCAACAGTTGGTCTTGGCAAACATTTTGCAAGCATTCACCATGTGCCTGGCTGGCATCATAGTGGGTTGAAGGTAGGGGGAGCAGGCATTGCATATGTTTTGCCCAGTCCAGATCTGTCTTTTGCTGGAACTCCCTGGGGCTGTCAGGCAAGAGGAGTGGCAATAGAGCAAATGTGGGGTGTGGGCCAGGGCATCTGCATGTTGTTGTTTTTTTAATTCCTCTAGGAATTTATGACTTACTTAATGAAAGTTGCGGAAACACTGGGCTCCAGAAAGTCAACGCCTCTTACAAGATTTACTTTCCCAATTATTAATTTAATATACTGGAGTTTAGATCATTTGTTTTGCTCTTTCTGAGAACTCTAGACTGAAGCTAGAACAAGAGAATTCTTTTGGCCTCTCTAGGCCCAAAAGCAAACAAGCAAACAAACAACTCCACCTACAACCTTTGTCAAAGGCAATGTGACTTTTAGGTTTGTTGAATCAGGTATTGTTGCAAATGGAGAAGCCTGGATCTCCCATGTTTGAAGACAAAAACATGGAAAGTGTTAGTTCCAGTATGGTCATTATTGGGTGTGCCAATCTTCGGTCTTTGCTGCCTTTCTTTGCAAATCCAACAATTGAATGATCAAGAATGGACTTGAGCATTTGCAAACCAGGTCTTTGTCTATTAGTGTGCTAGGCTGTTTTTAAACTGTCTCTTACAACTTCACATAAATCTAAGTAGTATTGGAGATAAATTCTTGCTTACACTCATAGTCAACAAAGAATATGAGTAGTTGAAAGATTCATAGAATTGGAGGACTGTGGCATTTAGGAGGAATCGAGTGAGCATTGAAATTATGAACTCTTCATCAATTATCTTTAAGTGTACATTATTTTTTTTCTATTGATCATGGGGCCCAAGTTATCTTGGTGTGAATTGGCATTGATTTGTGTTTAAAGAAACAAAAAATGTAGCAATTAAAATAAAACGAAATAAAAATTGAAGTTTGGGGCTATCTTTCGTGTGTGTGTGTGTGTGTGTGTGTGTTTCTCTTCTCGATATTTAATAAAGATTTAGTATTTTCCTGCTATCTTCTTTTCTGTTCCAAGCTTGTTGCCCCAGGCATGTTCTTTAGAAATGGGAACAGTATGCATTGACCATTTGCAGATTTAGCTATTTTCTTTGCAATGCTGGAAAGAAAATTCTATGCTTATCTGGAATATTCTGGATATGAGCCAAGCCAAGGGTTTATAGAACCTTTTGAGCTCTTGAGTTTGCACACTTCTCAGTGCGCAGGAATTTGGAGTTGAATATTGCCCTCCGGTGAATAGGGTTAGCTTTTGGCTGAAGGTGAAGAACCTCTGTGACCCAGATAATAATATAGAAATAACCTGAATGTTAGGATTATTATATAATTATTTATATATAATGTTAATATAATGTTAGGGTTATCTTCTGCAAACCATGACTTCAGAACAGTTAGCTCTACATGTAGTGGGTCCTTATTTAAGACTCAGACTCTGAACATCCACTAGCACAGTACATTGATTATGGTGTTCTGTTGACACAATTCTTGGTAGCTTTCATTGCTACCAACCAAGGTTTTGT